TTGCAAACACACGGGCAAGTCTAGGTATCTTAGCATATGCAAAGCACAGAAGCAAGCAATATCTCCCAGCTCACTAAGCATGCAACGTCCATCATTCCAAATCAGTTCATCAACAACATCTTACAGCATCACAGCAAGCACAACAAGATGTGAACATTTTAAGTCATGGATTTACGAGGTCCACAAAGCCGAGACCTATGACGTCACACTTCTCTAAGTTCATTTTAGTATATTTGCAAGTGTGCTATCAGCAGGGTTGTATTCTAGCCATCACCCATTCTTAGCTCCTAAAACGTCACAAAAGGAAAAATCTACCTACACGCCGGTTCAGAGAAAAGCCTTGGTAAACAAGCGACCGGTGTCAACAAATGAACAAGTACAAGGGAAGTATTACACACCTAGAAGAAGAAAAATCGGAGCTCACGATTACTAAAAGAATTCTACATGGACTACTTCCCTCAAGATTATTGTCCAAGTTGGGTCCGTCTAAGGAAGAGTCCCTCTACTTGTTTTCCAGTTTCATTAAATCCCACTTGTGACCCTCAAGAGACTTCGCACACAGTGTCCGTCGTTGAGGCCAAGTCACCTACTCCTAATATAAGTCCACTCAAAATATGATCATAACACATCAACTTACTCACTACAGCACAACAACGGTCTCATATTACATACAACACCACAAACTCAGAGCCAAGTTCTCACCCCACACTTAAATCACATTCATGCAGTCCCCATTTCATATCACAGATGAAGTACAAGCAGCAGAATGGCTCAGAAGACTTCCCTGATGACTCAATCAAAGTCGCGAAGACGTGCTGGCGGTCGACATGGCAAGCTCTCCCAATGCACGTAACCAGGCCCAGTAAACCGCGCTCTCAGATCTAGCACTGCCTCTGCGAGCATGGCATCCACCGCGTGTGTAGCCATCCACCGAGGTCGGAGATCCGCGACCTCTTCCCTCCAGGAACGCAGCATAGCCTGGTGTGGACTGTGAGCGGCAATAGGCTTGCCTCCAGAATGGGGCGCCGCGCGAGGAGGGCCCGCAACTGTCAGTAGACCTCCTGGAACGATGCAAGAGGAAACCGGATCGATCATCCTCATTATCTAATCTCAATTGTTGTACGGTGTACCCCGGCCCATCTGATGCCTGAGGCTCTACTAATGTTCTTCTTTTCTCTAGGGGCAAAAGTTCTCCGTCAGGCAGGATTGGTGGGGGTAAATTTTTCAGCAGGCACAGTGTAGTCACAATAGAAGGGAAGTAGAACCTTTGACAACAGCGGCCCCCGTAGGATCCATTTCCATTCACTAATTACCCTTGCCGCATCAAATCCTTCTTCGTCACGAAGCACCCAATGTCAACGAAGTGGCCGCTGGAAGTGTCACGTCATTGTGTTTGCTTGAGGGCAGGAACCTGGCTGCAAATGAACAGTTACCAACACTTAGCCAAGTGGTAGTGAATGAGTTGGCCAGTTCAGGCGTATTTGGTCACGCTATATTGTCCTTTCTGCACAGAGTAATCAGTCATGACCTCCCATGTGAACCCCTGGCCCTGTCGTGGTAGTAGTCTAATGTCACTAGTAGAAAACTGAGCTGCCGCAACAGCCTGGCGATCATGGGAATTGTGGCGCTGACACAACCTTGCTTGCACAATCACCCGCCCCTACTTAAGTTCAATGGGCAGTGGGCATAAAACCCCTAAACAAGCATCTTGTTTGACCGGGGTAGGGTCATCAAATAAGAATTCCTTTCCCTCCTCCGCAATTTCTTCCATACATCTCTGCCTTTCTACGCGGAGGGCCTGCCTCGGTCAAAGCGAGATCTCATGGATGAAGTTCTACGTAGCCTTAGCATGAAGTAGTTTTTTTTTCCACCTCCCACCTAGTTTGATGGAAACCTGGATTCATCATATGTAGGCGTTGGGAATGCGGCATGCCGATCTCCTTGCCTTTAGGAGCCATAGTCGCTGCAAGAAATTCAGTAAGAAAACCATCAAATATAATCCTTCCTGGTGCCAGTGTGGATGGGTTAACTCGGATTCTACCACCCAATTGGCAACATAACACTTACCCCCATTTTTTCATTCATACAAAGTGCCCATTCCCCACTAACTAAGGTGTGTCAAGGAGAACACCTCCACAAAGGCTTCCAACAATTGCTTGCAATTTTCGGCATAACATCACCCCACACTTACTTCCTCAAATGAATTCAACATTAAATACAACACCACAATACACAATTACAACACGCCACAACCTAGTTAGGCATAAAATGCCTCAAATTGTACAAAATCCCAAAATTTTCGGCCAAAAATGGCCCATCACCAAACTACAAGACCAAAAATATTTTCTAGGCCTCCAAGCATAAAAACAAACCTCACAATTAAGGTATCAATGGAGACCCAACCAAATTAAAAAAGAAAAAAAGCACTAACAACCCCACAAACACAATACAACAATAGAAACATAAAAAAAGCAAAAATTAAAACTTGAACACTATCCAACTAGGTTACTAAACCTAAAACTCAACACAAAAACTAATAACAACTAATTAAAGAAGAAGAAATAGAGGGGGAAGAGAACTTTACTTGATGGAAGAAGGGAAGGTGGAGGTGGAGGTTGTGGAGGAAGATGGATAAGTGGAGTGTGGGTGAGAGAGAATGGAAGATCTTTTTCCTTTTTGGTAAAGAGAGAAAGAAAGAAGAAGAAAGAGAAGAGGGGAGGGTTGTCGGTGTTCTGGGGAGAAGGAAGGAGGGATGGGTGGGGAGTTTAAAAGTAGATTAGAAAAGGGGGGATAAACGTAAAAAAAATAAATAAAAAAAATTAAACAATTAATCTGAAACCTCGGGCAACCCGGTCTGGGTTGCGCGGTTCTGCCGCGGTCAAGCGGTAGAACCGGCGAGAGTGAGGTTCAGAAAGGTCAATCCACCGCGGTTTGACCAGCGGTCGCGGTGAAGCGCGGTGGACTGATTAACAGAGAGGTGCTCTGACGCCGGTTTGACTGCGGTCGTGGATGGAACCGCGGTCTGGGCACATTCTCTGCAGTCTGACGGCTTTTTTTTTAACAGAAAGATTACACTTACAAACACATTTTCATGGTTGCCTCCCAGCAGCGCCTGATTTAAAAACGCGCGGCAACCACTCAGATGAGCGCAATTAAGGCCGCTCGGACACTCTGTGGTTCGTTCAACGTGCAGCTCAAGAATTTCCTTAGGCTCGTTCATACCCAATGATAATTTCAATCGCTGACCATTGGACTCTAAATGTACGAGAGTCAATTCTCAGTGGCAACTCCACAGCTCCTAACAGGGAAAACTTCAACTACTCGAAATGGTCCAAACCATCGTGACTTAGCTTACTCGGGAAACAACCTCATCTGAGTGTAATAGCAAATTACCATTCCCCAGGTTTGAAATTTCGCTCACGATGTTCTGATCGTGTAGCCTCTTCATTCTTCCTTGTTACAGCCTTGTGCTTCTCAAAAGCAAGATATTCCGGAATTCCTCGGCTCATGCAATTCAGTGACTCTTGAATGTGCCTGCACTTCCATGTCTAATTTGCTGTTTTAGTGCCCACCACGCTTTATGCTACAAGTTCTACAGTGGTGACAGCCTCCCAAACACCACTGTATGGTGACATACCAATTGGTGTCTTGAAAGCTGTTCTGTAAGCCCAGAGTGGCATCATCAGCTTCTTGCCCAATCAAGTTTCTTGTGGCGTTCACTATTTTTTGTTCAGTACACGCTTGATCTCCCTGTTGGATACCTAACCTGTCCAACTAGTCTGCGGTTGTACGGAGTAGCCACCTTGTGGCGCACATCAATGACTTATTCCAATAACTTTTCAAAAGCCCTATTGCAGTATCTTAGGCAAGGAAACAATTGGGAGAGATCACCAAACATCTTTCTTCTTTTCTTTGATTTTTATTGCTAGTTATGATGAATTCTATTTTAGTTTGTTTTCCCATAGCCATGAGTAGCTAAATCCTTTGTCTAAGGCTTTGATGGAACCTATTGGGGGATGAACATCTTGTTTATGTGAATACAAATTGCTAGTTTCAATCTCTATTTGTTCAACTTTGTGCTTGTTGTAGTTAATTGACAGGATCCTCAATTAGCTGTGCCTATTTAGTGTGCATAACTTGGAAAATAGTGCATATTTAGGTTTTTGTTGAACAACACCACTCCCAAAGTATAAGAGGAATCTATAATTGCGGGTTTAAAGGCGGGATTAGGGATAACGAAGCCTTGAGTATAATCTAAAGTGAATTGTGCTAAATAAAGTAAGCTAGTGTATCTCGGGAGAGTGCAATTAGTATATTACTGTGATTACTCGGGAGAGATTTACGGTAAGATGAGCGTTCATGATTAATAGAGATGTGTTGGTAAATTTGTATGAGCATAAACAGAAGGGATTCTTTCAATAGGGGAAATCATTGCCTTAGCTTCTTCTCATCATTGTTTACAACCTTAGCATTTTAATTTACAGCTGTTTAATTTACTTACAACCGTAGTTAGTAAAGCGACCTTCAACTGTGGTTCAAACATCTGGGAAACTGGTTCTGAAGAGTTTAGTGGGTCTAAAGATAGTGATTGACAGGTTAACTCTCTGTGGATTCGACCCTGGGCGTAATACTCGGGTTATATTTGCAACGTCCGCAGAGTCCTTTTTTAGAGGGCATAGTTGGGCGTGATCACTCTCCCTATAAATAGAGGGTTTTATTCCATTGTAATTTATCCCAAAATTCAATAAGAATTCCTTCCCTCTCTTTCTCTGCAATATTGTTCTTCTACTTTTATTGTTTTATAACAAAACAAATATATTCGTAAATTTGTTTTGAGTTCTCCCTTTATTTTTATTTTTCATGACTTCTTTTATTGAAGGTGTAATATAGTAGTGAATTCCAAAGTACTGTTTGGGTCGTTGGGACGGTTACCGACAAGCGGTACACCTCAAGCATATTCGAAGCAGCCGCCAATTTTCAAGTGGTTTAAAAGTCCCTTTCTATTTTCGGTAAAATCTTTTCCACCTTACATTCTTCTTCTTTCTAAAAGTGAATGAACATATTTGGCTCTTTTCTTCTAGTTATTGTACAGTCAATCACCAACTCTTCATTCCTCTCTCACACAAACAATGAATGTTGAAACCCTAACTTGTAAATCTCACATTCCGATAAAACCCCCTAAATACAATCCGAATTTCCATGTTGACTTCTCTTCAACCCGTCTCCGAACTTTTCGGGTTACGCCGTTGACCCGAATGTGCAATCTCCGCAGGCGAATAATCACCGCTTGTGTAAATCCTAGCCATGAAATTCCGGTGCTAGAAAGCTTGAATTTGAATTCAAGTACCGGTGAAGAAGCAGATGAAGAAAAAGTAGAAGCGGAAACAATTCGAGAAGAAATTTCGGTGGTGGATTCCAATGGTAAAGGGGAATTTTCTGGGAATGGAAGCATTTGGGGTCAAGTGGTGGAGATTGTGAAGTTTTCAGGGCCAGCAGTTGGGCTGTGGTTATGTGGGCCCTTAATGAGTCTCATTGATACCGCAGTTATTGGTCAAGGAAGTTCCATTGAACTCGCCGCTCTAGGTAGACAACTCAAAAGCTCTCTATCATATATATAATCTCGATTGAGTTTAACTTATATACACCAACAATGTATAATCTTTACACTAAAGGTAACGGAATTTGTACATGCTACAACAGTTAAAAGTGAGTGTAAATTTCTTTATACTATATAAGTTAAACTCATTTCAATTTTATATTATACTCTTCCGTTTTGGACGTCCAAAATATTTGAAAGAATTCTACTTTTGTACAATGTTGTTTCTGTTAAGTGATTTAGCTCAAATTTTTGTAATTGGCAGGTCCCGGAACTGTGTTTTGTGATAACACAAGCTATGTTTTTATGTTCCTTTCAATAGCCACTTCAAATCTAGTTGCTACTGCACTGGCCGGGCAGGTATTTTAGTTGAAAATTATTGTTATTTTCTCAATGTAAATGCTTTTCCCAAAAATTAGGAGCTTGGAAATTGTCATAGTCAGGGTGATCCATATACCAATATATAGTCGTTTTTATTTTGCTGTTTACTCTTACATTCTGAGCGTCTTGGATTATGGTCCAGGATAAAAATGAAGTTCAACATCAGATATCTATATTGCTTTTCATTGGGTTGGCCTGTGGTGTTGTGATGTTTGTCTTTACAAGATTGTTTGGTACTTGGGGACTGACTGGTAAGCACCTCATTCTTTTTTTGGTGGTGGATTCATCAGTCATTTGAAATTTTGAATAGTATATACTATTCATAATGTCCTCTCTTCCTTCAGTAGTGGCGTATATTTTTTAATGAGCAACTGACAGGTAAACTTGTCTCACTTTCAGTTTTCACAGGGGCAAAAAACACAGAAATAATAGATGCAGCGAATACTTATGTCCAGGTTATTGTTCTATATTTTATTAGTGCATGTTCTTAAGTTTGTTGAGCTGTTCTTCTCCTTTTTAGCATCGTTGAGTCAATTGAAGAGTCAAAACTGCCAATACTTTTCTTGTGCTGGATAGTAGGAAGTCAAATAAAAATTGGATATATATATATTGTCCCACAGTGTAATTGTAGAGAATTCCCGTCTTGTTTTCCACATGGTTATTTCCTCCATTGGTATATACAATTTTTCTGCTCATTTCGTCCTTTTGGTCTCGTTTAACATATAATAGTAAAATAAAAGGAAAAAAATTCTCTTATAGATTATTGGTCTTTTAAAAGGCATCTTATCCAGAGTCCATAGAGTCTATAACAAATGTATGATTTGAAAGGTATACAATTTCATTTAGCTGTTATATGACTTAGGTTTGAAGGTCCAGCCAACTAAAACAAATAAATTACCTATGATAAGAAGAAGGGGAAAAGTTACAGGAGCTGGGTAGTTGTGAGCAAATTGATTGAGTGATTACAATTAATTATCTAGATCTTCTTGTAGCTAAGCTTCAACTAGGAGTCTCTTCCATCCTAGAACAAACTTGCAGGTAAAGACATTCAATCAACTACTATATTTTCTGAATTCATATGCTATAGCAGGGATAACAGTTTTTGGCTGAAAGTTTCATCCGTTCTGAGATGATCAAGTAAAATCCACTTATGCTTGGTTTACTGAGCATCTTCATCTGAACAGAATATCTTTTGATGATAGATTCGAGGCTTTGCATGGCCAGCCATGCTGGTTGGTTGGGTTGCCCAAAGTGCAAGGTACCATCTATCTATACTTTAGTTTTTATCGGTATGCTTTTAGATATTTTGTACTTGAAGGAGTTGGCTGAGTGATCTATAGGGTTATGTAGCATTGTATTCCGTTTCTTCTTCATATTGGCAGCTATGCTTTGACAAGCTCCGCTCACACATATGTACTGTTTGATATCATGTTTCATGTTGTTCTTGCCACATAGGAAATCAATTGTGGGGGCAATGTCTAGCACCTATTTTCACCATATTTTTTTCCTCTTCCTGTTTGTATTCATCATGGATTCAAGTCCTCTCCCTCAAGAAGCAACTCGTTTTGTTCTGTGTTTACATGATTATTTATTTCTGTTTGACTTAACTAAATATTATATATTTTCTTCTTTATATGAGAAGAGCAGACTTTTGTTGAATATTAAAAGACATAACTAACTCTTACTAGATAGTCAATTGAGCAGAATTTTTTTAGATAATGAAGATGAAACACAACTTTTGTTAGCGGTTAGCTTTTGAGTTATGACCCTATTGAGGATGGATAATGGACTTGACCTTTGCTTGAAAGACATTTGAGCATGCTTTCCAGCTGGATAAAAGCAGAGAGAGAGAGAGAGAGAGAGAGAGAGAGAGAGAGAGAGAGAGAGAGAGAGAGAGAGACTATATTAGGCATCCACAGCTATGCGCCAGCTGAGCTTTTACTGAGAGAGAGAGAGAGAGAGACTATATCAGGCATCCACAGCTAATGCGCCAGCTGAGCTTTTATTGAACACTGTAATTTGCGCATGAATCAGATTAGTAAGGATGAGATGACAGATGTAAGGAATTTGTCATTTACAAGGCTAAATATAAAATTCTGCTTTTGATATCCAAAGCAGAATTTAGATCATTTATGGAGCTGAAGGTGTCCAATTTATATCATATTACTGGTACTCTATTCCCATTTGATAAGAAAGATCTTTCTTCTCCTATTATATATGACGTAACAGGCACTATAACTCCTTCTGGGATAACTGATGGTTATTTTGGCTTTTGCCTTTTCTTTGAATTATATAAATTTGTTCAGTCCCGGTCTGCAATTCCTCTGCGTGATTTCCAAGAAGTGACGCAAAAACAATCTGAAAGCTGTTTATGATTTTATGCTAGTGTTGTTGTGTTAGCATAAGTGCATTGGTCAGTCTGTTTCAGCGTGTAATACATTTTCTTGTTCTTGAATATACAGTCTAGGCATGAAAGATTCGTGGGGACCTTTAAAGGCTTTGGCAGTTGCCACTGTTATTAATGGCATTGGCGACATAGTTTTATGCAGATTCTTTGGATATGGTATTGCTGGAGCAGCATGGGCAACAATGGTCTCCCAAGTATGCCAAATATACCTTACCAAAAGCCTTATCTTCCTCTAAATGAATTTTATCTGCTCTTCAACTCTCTGTCTCCCTCCCTCTCTCCAGCCCCCTGCCCCATCCTCCATTTTCATACTCCTTATGGTAATTCCTAGCTTACTAGCAACATTTTAGGTTGTTGCAGCTTATATGATGATTGAGGCCCTGAACAATAAAGGATATAATGGTTTTGCCATATCTGTCCCATCATTGAATGAAGTTCTACAGATTTTCGTTCTTGCAGCACCTGTGTTCCTAACAATGATGTCAAAGGTTTGTTTGACTCAGCTGCATTTTCATTTTGCATGAAAGTGGTGACTTTGTTATGTATCTGACAGATCTTGAACTTCAGGTGGCATTCTACTCTCTACTTGTCTACTATGCTACATCAATGGGCACAAACACTGCTGCTGCACATCAGGTTAGTTTATGTGAAAACTAATCTTTTAGATGTATTTTCTTTTTTCATCTTTCTAATGACAAGGCTGGATGGATATTAACATTGATATATTGATTTTTCTTATTAGGTCATGCTACAACTATTCTGCATATGTGCAGTATGGGGTGAGCCTCTCTCTCAAACAGCGCAGTCATTTATGCCTGAATTGTTATATGGAGTGAATCGGAATTTGTCAAAGGTTATAAGTTAATTCATGTAAAATTTACAGTATCCTGCATCTATTGCCTTTATAATACCACATCCATGAAATTTTGACTGTGATGTCCATGTGCACTGTTGTTTTTATTTATTTATTGAAGTTCTTGATTCATTCCCAAGTATACAAATAGAGCTATGCTCCATGCATTTTTCTTTAATTGGATATTCTAAAAGATGAACACTGTGAATCAGGCCCGGATGCTGCTGAAGTCCCTTTTAATCATTGGAGCATCAAATGGATTATTACTGGGATCTGTCGGAGTGTCAGTTACATGGTTTTTCCCCAAAATATTTTCACCTGATCCTCTGGTCATACAAGAGGTTAGTTGTGTACTACATCTTTGATATTTCTTATCCTTTAAGACATTGTAATGTACTGATGAAGTGCAAGATGATACATCTTTTGGTCTTGAGGATTTTAATCCTTTCCACGTTCTTTTTTTGATAAATAACTTTGCTACTAGGAGCAAACAGAAATGATAAAGAATGAAATACTGCATAAAATGAAAATAACACAAACAAAGCAACGCGTTAACCAGGTCCATGTTATACTGGATTAAGATCGTGCAAGCATCATCATCATCACTGGGATCAGTTATTTCTATGGTGTTAGTCGGTCCTGTTAGCCAAACTCAGAAGCTTCAATCATAGATTTTGCATTTTAGGTTGGGTATTTGCTATACTCTGTGCACTGCGAGTTGGAACATAAGAACCAAATAATGTTTTTATGTCACTGAAAATAGTTTCATCATGATCGACTGATTGTTCTCACCTTCTGTTGGTGCAGATGCACAAAGTATTGCTGCCATTATTTCTAACTCTCTGGGTCTCGCCGTGTGTTCATAGTCTTGAGGGAACCTTGTTGGTATGTTTTCATACTTTCTCCAAAGTATATTTTGACCACTGTAGAAATTTGTTTCGATTATATATAGATGATTTTAACTGAAAGTCCTTTTTATTTGTCAATGTCTGCCATAAGTTTAAGGAGTATGTTCTGTTTCTTCGGAAAAAAAAATGTAGCATTTCAAGTTTATTAAGGGGTAAATATTACTGGGTAGGGGCGAGCAAGGGTTGTGTTTATTTGCACTAGCAACTAAACTTTTTTCTTTATGAGGGGTTTCATTTATTAATAGTAACTAGTAAGTACATCATTGAGTAACTGCTGTGAGAACATAATCCTGCAATCAGCAAATTGAAAAATCCAACAAGCCAAAGAGGAGTTCTACATAACATTAAAGTGATAACAATCAAGTGAGTTTATTACATGGAGAACATGTTCCGGGTTTGACATTTTAACAGGCTGCAAGGAGTGAAATAGAGAAAACGATCGAGAGAAAGAGAGAAACAAGAGGGGGGGGG